CGGCCTGTGTGGTTCTTAATATGATTGCAAGATGCCCTCACCAATAACCATCAGGAAACTTTGAAAAAAAAAAAAAAAACAGGTTTATTACTTACAAGTCCTAGAAATTACATGCACACCTGAGGCCACACTTCAAGGTTGCAGGTGGGGGAGGGGAGCTACAGTTCTGCTTTTATTGGAGTCCAGGGTGGGGGCCTAGGGTTTCGTGGGCTCACTTTTTATTGGTAAATTCTAAACATAACAGTGGAAATCTAAAGCATGGGAAGAGAAAAAACAAGTGGCCCAAATGGTCAGTTACCAAACCAACAGAGATAAACACAGGAGCCTCAGGGGTGGGGTGCAGGCCAGACCTGAGAGCCACCTCGGAATGGATGCCTCTTTGGAGTGGACCCTCAGCAATCAAAGCATAAGTCAGGTGCTTGCATTACAAACAGAGAAAACCCAACTGTCCAGCCTTATGCTCCAAGCACCCTTACAAATACATATGATTTTACACACTTCTCTACATTCTTGTACAAAAAAGATATCACATCCACTCCCTGAAATAACTCTTCTCAAAGTAGAATGCAAGCAGCACTCTTAGATCCATTCTTATTACATGTGGTTTTAAATTCTCTTCAAAATGCCTTACAGGATGGATAGTACATCCGCACACTGAAATAACAATCCTCTCAGTGATGGATTTATATATCACTCTAACAATGATCTTTTCTTCATTGAGTATTCTTGGTTCCCTAGTCAAATATTAGTTGATGGTGTAGACATGCATTTATTTCTGGGCTCTCGATTTATTTCTATTAGTCTGTATGTCTGTTTTATACCAGTACCATACTGTTTTGATCACCTTAGCTTTTTTTTTTTAAAGATTTTCTTTATTTGATAGAGAGAGACACACCGAGAGAGGGAACACAAGCAGGGGGGAGTAGGAGAGGGAGAAGCAGACTCGCCACTGAGCAGGGAGCCCAATGTGGGGCTCAATCCCAGGACCCTGGGATCATGACCTGAGCTAAAGGCAGCCACCTAATGAGTGAGCCACCCAGGTGCCCCTTGATCACCTTAGCTTTATAAGATAGCTTGAAATCAGGAAATGTGAACCTCCCATAGGATTGCTTTTGCTATTCAGGGTCTTTAGTTATTCCATATAAAATTTTGGGATAATTTTTTTTTCTACTTCTGTAAAAATTTCCATTGGAATCTTCATAGGAATTGCACTGAATCTATAGATGGCTTTGGTTAATATCGAGATTTCAAAAATATTAATTCTTGTATCAATGAATATGGAATGCCTTTCCATTCATTTGTGTTTTCTTCAATTTCTTTCATCAATGTCTTACAGTTTCAGTGAAGAGACCTCTCATCTCTTTGGTTAAATTTATTCCTAGGTATTTTACTGTTTTTCATGCTATCATGTATAGCAGAGTTTTATTTTTGAAAAAAATTTTTTAGTGTATAGAAATGCTGCTAATTTTGTATCCTGCAACTTTCCTGAAATCATTGCTTAGCTCTAACAATATTTTGGTGGAGTCTATAGGATTTTCTCTATTTAAAATCATGCCATCGGCAAACATAGACAGTTTTATTTCTTCCAATCCTATTCTGACACCTTTTATTTCTTTTCCTTGCCTAAGTGCTCTTCCAGTATTATGCTGAATAGGAGTGGTGACACAGGACACCCCATCTTCTTTCTGATCTCAGAGGGAAGCTTTCAGACTTTCACCATTGAGTATGATATTAGCTGTGGGCTTGTCATATCCACCCTTCTATAATTAATTTGTTATGAGTTTTTGTCAGGAACAGATGTTAAATTTTGTCAAATGCTCTTTTTACATCTATTGAGATGATCATATGATTTTTTCTTTTGTTCTTTTAATGTGCTCTATCACCTTTCTTGATATTCATATGCTAAATTATCCTTGCATCCCAGGGATAAATCCCACTTGAACATGGTAAAAAATCCTTTCAATGTGTCACTAAATTTGGTTTGTTGGCATTTTATTGAGAATTTTTGCATCTATATTCATCAGAAATATTGGCTTATGGTTTTCTTTTGTTGTAGTGCCCTTTTCTGGCTTTGGTGTCAGGGTAATGCTGGCCTCAGAGAATGAATTAGGAAGTATTCCTTCCTCTTCTGTTTTTTGGACTAGCTTGAGAAGGATAGGTATTGCTACATTCCCATATGTTTTGGTATGTTGTCTTTCTATTTTCATTTGTCTCAAGATACTATTTTACCCATTAAATTTATTTTTTTAATACACTGGTTTTTGAGGGAGTATTATTTAATTTCCATGTATTTGTGAGTTTTTCCAATTACCTTCCTGTTATTTTTTTAAATTCATACCACTGTAGTCAGAGAAAATACTTGGTATGATTTCAATCTCCTTGAAATTGCTAAGACTTGTTTTGTGGGCTAACATATGGTCTACCCTAGAAAGTGTTCCATGGGGGCTTGAGAAGAATGTGTATTCTGCTGTTGTTGGATAGAATGCTCTGTGTATGTCCATTAAGTCCATTTGGTCCATAGTGATATTCAAACCTGCTGTTTCCTGGTTGATTCTCTCTCTGGATGATCTATCCTTTTTGAGAGAGGGCTATTAAAGTACCCTAATATTATTGTATTGCTGTTTATTTTTCCTTTTAGCTCTGTTAATTTTACTTTATGTATTTAGTTGCTTTAATGTTGGGTGCATAGGATATATGCAAATATTATATCTTCTTGATGGGTTGATGCTTTTACTGTTATATAATGAACTTTTCTCTTTTTACTATTTTTAAAGTTGATTTTGTCTGATATAAATATAGCTATCTCTGCTATTTTGGTTACCATTTGCATGAAATATCTTTTTCATCCCTTTGCTCTCGGTCTGTAGGTGTCTTAATGCTAGTCTCTTGTAGGCAGCATATTGTGAGATTTTATTGTTTTATCCATTCAATCATTCTATGTCTTTGAAGAAGCCATCTTTACATTAAGCAGCATATTGTGAGATTTTATTGTTTTATCCATTCAATCATTCTATGTCTTTGAAGAAGCCATCTTTACATTAAAGTAGTATTGATAGGTAGGGACTTACAATTGCCATTTTGTTCATCATTTTCTGACTCTTGTAGAGTCTGACTGTTCCTTGCTTCTTACCCATTTGTGTTTTGATGTCTTTTGGTCGGTATGCTTTGACTTCTTTATGTTCCTCAGTATAAGCACCATAGGTTTTTCCCTTGCGGTTACCATGAAACATACAAAGTATCTCAAAGTTATAAGTCTATTTTAAACAGATAACAACTTAAATTCAACTGATAACAACTTTAACTCAACTTGATTGTTGAATTGACTTAACTTAAATGTTGACTTATCTTAAACGTTGAATTTAAGCTTTATACTTTTACTTCTCTCTCACACATTCTCATTATTGGTGTTAGAGTTTACATATTTTTATATTGTATACCCAGTAAATGGTTATTATATTCATGGTTATTTTTACTAAGTTTTTTTTTTTGTTTTTAACTTTTAAACTAGCATTGTTAGGGAATTATGTACCACCACAGAATAAGCCTAAGACCACACACACACCAAAAAAAGAGCCTTGCAGGGCTTGGAGCTCGTCTCCCTTTCACCCAGTCAAGGGAGCTAATATATAGCCCACACCTACTCCTGAATGTAGATGCCCACCCCACCTAATGAAAAAGCCTGACCTGAGCACCTGGGAAGCTGCCTAACCCAATGGCACTTGAGTGGAGATCATGGCCAGCAGCTCTGTACATCTACAGTGAGGACGCTGGCTCCATCTGGCCAGGGAACCTGGGACATATTTCTGCCTGACCAGCTCCCCAGACAAGAGTTTTGCCAGCCTGGAGGCCTGTTCTGTGGCCCTGCCTGGGCAGGGAAGCTACTCTCCTGCTCTGCCTACCACTGAATACAACCTCCACCTATTCTCACTGCAGAAGTTAGAACAGGCAGCTCAATAACCTCCTCAGGAACCCTTCACTCTCAGCATACCATCCTCAGTCCACCATCCACCTCTGCGAGTTGCAAGACAGAACTAAGTGCCAAGTCCAGACATAAACGTTTCAGCTGGGCAAGAAAGAAACCTTTTCCAGAAGTTTCCAGAACACTTTTGCAAACAACTCTGGTGAGAACTAGAACACGTGCCGATCCCAAACAACTCTCTGAGAGGAGTGTCTTTTGTGACTGGCTTACTCCAGTCAACCTTTACCTCTGAACCTTCCCAGGCTAAGGTGAAAAACAAGTTAATGCTCTGCCATCAAGAGAAAAATGAGTGTTGGGTATAGTCTGTAAGAACCTATCAATTGTTTGGAAGTTAATTTAAGAAATAACAGCTAACACATGCACAGCTCTTCTTAAATTGCCCCTATGAGCGAGACACTATCAATGTCCCCGTTTTACAGATGAGAGTCTGAGTACAGACAGTAATGTGTCTCAAATCTATTAAGTGATAGAGCCAGACACATCATAAGAACCCAGGCAATCTGATCTCTAATTCTGCAGCCTCCCCTATACTGGAGAAGAAATGAGTAAGAGAAAATATGTATATACAACATCATAATACAAATGTAGATGGTTCCTGTTATACTGGGGCTATGCAACTCATACCTAAGTAGATTTCTCATTGGAACATTTCAGCTGGATATTTTCTTCATATAATGGAAACCAAAAGTGTTTGAACTCAAGTAGTACTGTCCACATCTGCTTTCATTAATTACCTTGATATTGCTTATTTTTTAAAAGATTTAGAGAGAGAGAACATGCATGGGCAGGGGAAAGGGCAGAGGGAGAGAGAGAGAATCCATAAGCAGAATCCCCAGCTGAGTGCGGAACCTGACTCGGGGCTCAATCCCAGGCCCCTGAGATCAGGACCTGAGTCGAAACCAAGAGTCGGCTGCCCAACTGACTGAGCCACCCAGGCACACGGATATTGCTTATTCTGTGTAATTAGTACTTTCATTACACCTACTGGTGGACCCTGAGGCAGGTGAAAACTTCATAGACACAATGTTTGAATTCTTTATTGAAAAATCAATACATAATACTGGCCATATCCACTTTTATATGCCAGGAAACTGTGAGAGAACACATAGGAGATGTGGTAAAATTGTGGAGTATTATTTCACTTAACATATATATCGAATAAGATAAATTGGTTAGCTTTTAATAAGGAACACCATTGTTATCTGTCACATAGTGAAGGGAACAAAATATTTTATGTAGTAAACTCACAGAGATAAGCACTTATCACACAGGGATTCTTCACACACATGCTCACTGCTGTTATCCTAATTATTCATGGTGTGCTGTGTTTTTAAGTGAGATGGGAAGCTGCTGGAGGAATCTTAGCAGAGAGCGAACAATGTCAGACTTTCTGCTTTTATTAAGGAACATTTACACTCAAACATGAATATATATAAATAATTCACAATAAATTTTGTAAATTGAATACACCTACAATCAATATTGAGATAAAAAGAATACTATTAGCACCAGAGAAGCCCCCTTAAGTCAATCTCTGCAACCTGCCACCATCCAGGCAACCACCATCCCAACTTCTAACACCATGTATTACATCTGCCTGCTTCTTGAGTGGAAAAACACAGCACTTACTCTTCTGTGTTGTTTCTTTTGCATGCATACAATTGTGGTTCATTCATTCCTACTGCTGTAGAATACAGCACTGAATGAAGAGCACAATTTATGCATGCATTTCAGTGTTGGTGCCCATTCATGCTATTTCTACTTCTTCTGGGCTATTGAGAATACTACCACCATGATTGTTCTTTCAGGAAACATATATTTCTGTTCGAGATACACCTAGAAGTATAATTACACAGCCAAAATTTACATGTATGTTCAGCTTTAGTAGAAAGAGTTCATTTTTCCAAAGTGCACAACTTACATTCCCACCAAACTTTTATTAGTCCCAGTTGCTTCAGATCTTCATTATCAGTTGGTGTTTTATCACTGTAGTCATTCTGGTGTGCAGTGGTATTGCATATTTGTTAGAATTTGCTTTTCCTTGATGACTAATGAAATTGAGCAACTTTCCACATTTACTGATCATTTAAGTATACTCTGTGAATTATGTTCAATCTGCTGCTCATTTTTCTCTTTCTTGCTGATTTGCTGGAGTTCCTTCTATATTCTGTAGAAGAGTCCTTGGTTTGAGATATGCATTGCAATTATCTTCTCCCAGTCTTTTAACTCCTATGTTTTTTTTGGTTTTTGTTTTTGAACAAACAGTTCTTAATTCTAATGTAGTCGAATCTATCTATGGTTTTGGTTTCTTGTTTAAGGTGTCTTAGCCAAAGTCATGATGCTCACCTATATTTTCTTCTGAAAGTGTTACCTTTCACATTTAGATGTAAATCCATACGAAACGAGTTTCTGTGTATGGTGGGTGGCTACAAAGTGTTTTTCTTACACATACAGAGAGCCAATTAACCCAGCACCATTTACCAAAAATGTCATCTTTTTACCACGATATCACAGTGTCACCTTGGTCATAGACAAATATATTGGGGCTTGTTTCTGGATATTGTTTATGCTTGTGCCTGAACCACCATCTTGATATCCAGCAGTCTAAGTCCTGTAGATTTATTTGTCTATTTTCAGGTTGTCTTAGCTAGGGTTAGTCATTGAATCTGCATATACATTTTAAATTCAGACTTGCTAATTTCTAATTAGCTGCTAGATGGTTTTTAGGGTTGCACTGAATCTACCATTCAATTTGGGGAGGGGGGAATGAGTCTTCAAAGTCATCAACACAGTGAGTATATCCTTCCATTTATTTTGGTCTTCAACATCCTTTAATTTGGCAATGAAGTTTTTGGATTTCTAGAACTTACTGTTTTAGGACTACTGTAAACCTAACAGCAATGTAACAGTAGTTAAAGTGTACATCTTGATATAATTTAATACACCTGTATAAGCATCACCACAATGTAGTGAACTTATCACCCACAGGGATCACTGCCTAATGTCCACTGACATGAAAACAATGATTTCCTAGATTTTATCTGTTTCCCTTTTCCCTGTGTTTTAGGCAGGCAGGTAAATCTGGTCTCTGCTACCCTATCCTGGGTGGATACAACTTTCCTGGTATCACTTATTTTCTATTTGTAGTTTATATATAGAAACAATTTTTGTACAGTGAGTTTGCTAATTCACTTACTTCTAATGACGTCTCCATAGATTTTTTTCACATTTCTATGCAATGATACCACCTACCAATGAGTTGTGCTTCAATCTCCCCAGTTTTATGCCTTACACTTCTTTTTCCTTTTTGCCTTACTGATAAGCTAGAGCCTTCAGTCCTATGTTAAACAGAAGTGGTAATAAGCATTCTTGTCTCATTCATATCAGGAAGAGATATCTCAGTATTTGTCTACTTGGTATGATGTTTGCTCTATGTTGGTTTCCTTGTTTTTGACGAGCTTTCCTTCCATTCCTAGTTTTGTTTTTTAACTACAAATGGGTGTAAAGTTTTATCAAATATGTTTTCTGCATCTATTGAATTAATCAAGTGGCTTTACTTGCTTTTTCTACCGATGTGGTAGGTTACGTCAATTAACTTGAACTTTTATTCTGAAATAACTTCACACTTAAGTCACAAGCATAATACCAAAAAGACTCCCATATCCCCCTCACTCCGATTCTCCTAACTGCACTGCGCCTCCTCCATCTGTCCCTCGCATACTTGCACTCAAACACACAAATTATTAGTCTTTCTCTAAAGCATCTGAAAATAAGCTGCAGACATGAGGCTCCATTACCCCTACCTACTCCAGGGTGTATCTTCCACAAAGGCACCCAACAATCATCCAAGTCAGGAGATAAACACTGATAAACACCACCATCCAATCCATATGCTGAATTTTGCCAACTCTTCTAACAATGTCTAGTCTTCCTTTTTGTTATTTTAAAATATCTCCAGTCTCAGAGTACCTGGGTGGCTCTGCCGGTTAAGAGTCCGACTCTTGGTTTTGGCTCAGGTCATGATCTCAGGGTCGTGAGATCAAGCCCCACATAGGGCTCCCCACTCAGCAGGAAGTCTGCTTGAAGATTCTTTCCCTCTGCCCCTCCCACTACTCACTCGATCACTCACTCTCTAAAGTAAATAAATAAATAAATCTTTAAAATAGATCAGTTTCCTCCAATCTGGAGCAGTTTTCATGTCCTTCACATTTTTAAAGACAATAGGCTTTGCATTCAGTAAAATAACCTTTCAAATGGGTTCACCTGGTATCTCCTAAGCAAACACAGGTCATGCTTTCTTGGCAAAAATACCACACAGATGATGCTGGCTCTTCTCAGGGCATCCCATCAGGGGACACATCGTGTTGACCTGTCCTACCCCACTGGTGAGGTGAACTTTGATCACCTAATCATGTTGGTTTCTGCCGGGTTTAATCATAAAATTACCACTTTCACCTTTGCAGCTGATTAGTATTTTGTGGGGAAATTTCTGAAGATTATGTTAATATCATATTCTTCATCAAACCTCTACCCACACACTCTAGCTTATGTTGGCAACTACCACCTAAATCAACCACCACTCTGATGGCTGCTATGGTGTTTTCCTATTTCCATTATTCTCCCTACATTAATTGGCATCTTCTGTAAAGAAAAGTTTTCCCTTCTCCATGAATTTACTCATTTATTTATATCACTATAAATTAATGGATTCACATTTTATTAAGTCTCTTGTATTCTGATGCTATTGTTATTTTTTGTCCGAACTGTCTCACATTTGGCCAGTGGAACCTGTCCAAGATGGTACTTTTGTCTCCAAGAGTCTCTGAACATTTTCTGTCTGGTAGGTAAGATGATTCAGGTTCATCTTATATTTCTTCCTATCTCTGACCTGGAACCTGCCATCACTCCAGAAACTTGGTCTCTTTTTTGGTGGAGGACAGCATTTAGAAATTAGTAAACTGGCACTTGGGTGTGCTCACTGCGCCTGGGGTATCAATGTGCGCAGGCCCTCTCAGCAGACAGATCCATAACACACACACACACACACACACACACACTTCTATGAGTTACATTTCAATCCAACACTCCGGGGTTTTCTAACTTTCCCCTTCTCCATTTTTATGAAAGCCTTCTCCAATCTGGCTCTCATCATCCGCAATACATTTTATTTGCTCAATGTTAAATATTTCAGCCATGCTGATCGTCTCTTCCAGCTGCCCTCAACACTCCTGATGCAGGTGTGCACCTCACCACAATACCTTTCTCATCCCCCAACGCAGGCCTGTTCTGACGTCCACTCTAGGAAGGGAAGGCAAGAGAGAAATACAGAAAGCACAAGGGAGAAAGAAGAACATGAGAGGAAGAACTGGCCAAACTGATTTCATTTTAAATATTAAATCCTTTGGCTTCTTTAATAAACATTACTTGGTCCATGGATATGACTGGATTTTTTTAAATTTAGGATTATGCACCTTAATTCATAAAATACTGGTAACTTTACTTTCCTGAAATGTCTTTTACAGGTTTTGGCATCAAGGTTATACTGAGCTCACAAAATGAATTAGAAAAGTTCCATCTTCCTTTCTCTGGAAAAATTCATAAAAGCTTGGTATCATTTCCTTCTTAAATATTTGGAATAACTACAGTGAAGCCATCTGTTCTTAAGAGTTTTCTTTCTGGGCAGGTTTCTGTTTGTTTTTTGTTTTTTTTTAAATACCAGGTATCATTTGCAATTGCAATAAGGTACAATCTACCTCTGATATGACCTTGCTTTTACTGATAGCATGCTGTGCTCAGCAAGGGCCCAAACTACTGGCAGTTCCCAAATTCTAATCATTTTTTCTTAGTACTGAAAAAAAATCTACTTTCAGCTTTGCTTTTCAGGCTCCTGCCCTGTGTTGAGTCAGTCTTCTAAAAATTTCCTTAAAAACTGTCTATGTGTCTGACCTCTAATGTTTAAGAATTTTTCACTCCAGCCTTGACGGCCAAAAGCTCTGCTGGCTCTCGTCTCTGCCCTCCTAAGAGTTCCAGCCTCCACCTGAGCCACGCTCAATACTCAGGCTCCTCTCTGTGGCCAGAACTGGCAAGTGCTCCCAGGTAAAACAGCTGCATTTTGCCCGTGTACTTTCTATGATTCACTCCTCTCCTGAATGTTACCTCTAGTCCTCTTTGCTTCTGCAGCAATAGGCTGCATTCAAATAGATGCTTTTTGTGATATTTTTCTAGTTGTTCTCAGTTAGTACACTGATCTGCTGTAAGCTACTATAACCCACCCAGTAGTAGTATCTACTTGTGCTTTTTTAAAGCTCTATATTTAAGAATGCATTTTCATATATAATTGTTTCAGTTTTTTTAAATTGTTACATCACATATGAAAGGTGTTAAGTATGTGGAGAAATAGAGTTGGGTGCAGTAAGTCACTCACAACAGGATGACACTTGCCAGGGAAGAAACCACCTATGCTCCACACTCACTTTTCCTACATTCACTATGTTGCATGCATAGCAACTCACCTTTCCCCTTTGATCCACCATTCCAGGATGAGCCACTCAAAATCAGTCTATCCCAGAATTACTAAAACATCCTGCTGGCAAGCTACTCCTACATGTGTCACCAGATCCAAAATCTCTCTTTTTTACCTGGACATCAGAAAGTCCTGTTGGTGGGTCCTCTTGCTAAAAATCTTCTCTTGTTTTGCATATGCCTGAACAATAAGCCTCAGACGTGCTTACAACTGTGCTCCCAGTGTGGTGTGTTTTCACGTCTAATACCTTAAACAGAGGGGAACAACGGACCTGGCAAGGGGCCAAAGTGTATCTTTACAAAAATAAAACACTATTTCTAAATGAAAAGTTCTCCACATTTCCTCAATTGCTAGAAACCCTTCAAAATCTCTGATGTATAAGCTTAGATTTAACTTAAAGCTTCCACATATTTAAAATATTTTCTCTAGTAATTTCCAACATCGACCAGATCCTACTTCAAGCACTTCACACAAGTCATCACCTCAGAGTAAATATTTTCCTATAGTTTCCTATAATTTGTGCATTTTCTAAGGCCCGTGGATAAAGTCTTCTCTACCCTACGAATGCTGATAGAGGTTTCTAACTTATGTGTTTTCTTTGATGTTTAGTGAGGTGTGGCTTTGGGCAAAAGGTTCCCTATATTCATTCACCAATAGGTTTTCTCCACTGAGTTTTCTGATATACAGTATGGTTCAAATTCCAACACAAAAGTTTTCTATATTCCATAGCTTCATATCATTCTCTCCCCTCTGTTAAGTTCTCTGCTATATTGTGAGAACTGACTTTAGACCAAAGATGTTATTAAAATCATTGTATCAATGGATTTTTCTCCCCATTTGTGTTCTTTTTCTATAAACTCTTGACTTCACCCAGAGTGATTTCCCTCATTTATTACATTTATAGGGTTTCTCCCCAAATGTGTTCGTTGATGTACCGTGAGTTTAGACTTCACATAGAATGATTTTCCACAAACATTACATTCATAGGGTTTTTCCCCCGTGTGTGTTCTATGATGTGCAATGAGTTTTGACTTTACACAGAATGATTTTCCACATTCATTACATTCATAAGGTTTCTGTCTTATGTGAGTTCTCTGATGAACAATTAGGGCTGACTTCTGACGGAAATTTTTCCCACATTCATTACATCCAAAAGGTTTCTCCCCTGTGTGTCTTCTCTGATGTTCTGTGAAACCCGAGGAGTAGCAGAAAAATTTTCCACATTCAGTACATTCATAGGGTTTCTCACCTGTGTGAGTTCTCAGATGTTTGGTAAGAGTTGACTTCTCAGAGAAGGATTTCCCACATTCGTTACATTCATAAGGTTTTTCCCCTGTGTGAGTTCTTTGATGTTTAATGAGGTCTGATTTTCTGAGAAAGGCCTTCCTACATTCATAACATTCATAGGGCTTCTCCCCTGTGTGTGTTTTTTGATGTACAGTAAGGACGGACTTAAATGAGAAGGCTTTCCCACATTCACAACACTCATATGGTTTCTCCCCTGTGTGTTTTCTCTGATGTTGAGTGAGGGTAGACTTTTCACTGAAGGATTTCCCACATTCCTGACATTCAAAAGGTTTCTCCCCTGTGTGAATTCTCTGGTGTTTAATGAGGTCTGAATTCTTGTAGAAAGTTTTCCCACATTCATGACATTCACAAGATTTTTCCCCCGTGTGTGTTCTCTGATGTCTTGTGTGGGCTGACTTCTGGTTGAAGGTTTTTCCACATTCATGACATTCATAAGGTTTTTCTCCTATGTGTGTTCTCTGCTGTACACCAAAGACTAACTTTTCACTAAAAAGTGTTCCACATTCATTATTCTCAAGTATATTGTCAATTGAGTGGGTTCTCTGAATTGGAATGAGGTTTGACTTCTGGCTGAAAGGCTGAACACTCTGATGCTCAAAGAGAATGGATTCCTCAAACAAGTTTTCTCCACATTCATTAAATTCACAGTGATTCTCTCTTGGATGTGTTCTCTGATGAGCAATGAGAGATGACATATCACAGAAGATCTTCCCATATTCAGTGTATTCACAGGTATTCTTCCCTGTGTAAGCTTTCTTATTTACAACAAAGAGTGAATTCTCATGGAAAGCTTTCCTACATTCACTGTATTCAAAAGGTTGCTCCAAAATTTGAATTTTCTGATGGTGAACAAAGTCGTCATTAAGGTGGAAGCCATTCCCATTTTTATTATATTCATAAGGTTTCTCTTCAGAATGAATTCTTTCATATTTATCATTATGGAGCCAATTTCTACCTTTGTTAAACTCACTGAACTTCTTTCTTGAATAGTTTCTACTGTTATTAATTAATTCTGAAATATAAATAGAGTAACAAGGAAGATTAGTTGACAAAATATTTAGGAGAAACAAAATTAATTAGGTTTCAGGGAGTGAACAAGCTTAGTTCATTATCTCCTCATGTCTCGATTATAACAACAGTATACACACCTCCAGTCTCATCTCTCTTTTCCATTCCACACAATAACAACAAATCAAATTTCTAAGACCTCTAATTCAAAAGGGAATGGTACGATAACGCTATCTCTAATATCTCTAATTCTGTTTCTAGCTCTGATGCACCAGGAATAAAAACACACAACAAAATAGCAAAAACAATGAGTGGTCAAGCCATCCTTGCCATAGGATCAGATTTACAGCTCTTTTGATTTATAGTATTTTCCCTTTATTCCATCAGAGTTGTTCAATAGTGTGGACTTCTCCTGGCCATCAAACCCTCTTCCAATGTTTTCTGGCTTTCTCCCAACCAAATCTCACCTCATTTAACATTAGTCTTCAATCCTTCATTTAACATTAGTCTTCAAAGACTAATGTTAAATGCATATATATATATATGCTTTTATATCTCTGCATAACATGAAAACCTACAAGTCTAAACCTGAACCTGGAACTTTCATTTACCTGTACCTTAATATTTTTTGGTTATGCATACCTATGCATGTCTTTACTCCTCTGCTATCTATAATACTATATTTGTAATAATGTATCATACAATTCCATAGAATGCCAATACTAATACTAATACTAATACTACTGAGTCCAATAACCTAAGAACTGACAATATTTTTTAAAGGTATCACCCTGAAGCAAACATATCATTGTATCTGGATTCAGATTAGAACCAAACCATTAATTTACAAATCTAGAATGAATATATTTTATTCTTGTAAGCCCAGCTGTTTGTCCCCATAAATTGTTCATTCTCATCCATAATCTTATATTCAAGTTCTTTCATTCTGTTAGTTTACAGTCCAATAATGTTTTTAAAAAGTTGCCTTCCCAAATTTCCCCATCACTTTCAGATTCATTTGCTAAAAAGAAAAAGAAAAAAAAAAAAAAAGAAAGGCCTATAACATGAACAAACATTTCTCCAAAGAAATAGATGATCAACAGACACATGAAAAGATACTCAAAATCAGTCATCATCAGGGAAATACAAATCAAAACCACAATGAGATATCACCTCACACCTGTTAGAATGGCTAAAATCAACAACACAGGAAACAACAGATGTTGGCAAGGATGTGGAGAAAAAGGAACCCTCATGTACTGTTTGGTGGGAATGCAAACTGGTGTAGCCACTGTGGAAAACAATATGGAGGATTCTCAGAAAGTTAAAAATAGAACTACCCTATGATCCAGCAACTGCACCTCTGAGTATTTACCCAAAGAATACAAGCACACTAATTCAAGAGATACATGTACTCCTATATTTATAACAGCATTATTTACAACAGTCAAATTATGATGGCAGCCCAAGTGTCCATCAATTGACAAATGGATAAAGAAGATGTGGTGTATACACACACACACACACACACACAATGCAATATTACTCAGCCATAAAAAAGAATGAAATCTTGCCATTTGCCAGGACATGGATGGAGCTAGAGAATATAATGCTAAGTGAAATAAGCCAGTCAGAGAAAGACAAATACCATATGATTTCACTCACATGTGGAATTTAAGCAGCAAAACAAATGAGCAAAGGGAAAAAGAGAGAAACAAAGAAATAGACTCTTAACTACAGAGAACAAACAGATGGTTACCAGAGGGGAGGTGGAGGGAATGGGTGAAATAGGTGATGGGGATTAAGTAGCACACTTGTCGTGATGAGCACTGGGTGATAAAATAAAAAGTTAAAAAAAAAAAAGTCTGTTTGTATAATTTAACACAAACATGAGCTACGCTGCTATAACAACGTCTTTGTTAAACACTGAATTTTTAAATATTTCACGCAGCTCTGATTTTCATTCAACTATGTTTCTGGCAGCCATAACTCTACCTATGATTTTCTTTCAACACTCTGATTAGATATTAAGTCAATGATATTTAACAAATGGTTTTCATCAGAATTAACTGGAGAGCTTTACCAAACACAAGCTTTTAGGCATCATACTGAAAGATTTAGTGGTTTAATGTCTGTACTTCTAAAAATACTTCTGTAAAAACCAGCAAATATGGTAAAATGCTAATGAAAGATCAAAAAAGCATGTATAGAATAATATATTTAATATTTATGATATTAATAATGTTAGTTTTATTATGAAAATAAATATTTAAATGTTATTAACAAATCTATATAAACCCCATCAAAAGTGTCCTGTTCCTCTTAGGACTTGATGTGTGTGTATATGAGGAGGATGACATGGAGTTGGCTTTCATATTCCATGATAATTTTTAAAATGAGCATGTGTTACTTCTGTTTAGAAGGAACAAGAATGATAACACAGGCATGATTTTTCAGTCTCTATGTCAATGTATACCTGACAAATCAGAATCTAATGACTGATGACCTGGCATGTATGTTTACAAAGAGTTTATGGTAATGACTTTCTGAATTATTATGAAAATCTGGCTCTATGTGGTCCATGGTCAAGCAAAATCATTATTAATGTGCAATTCTGGATTATTAAAGAGTGAAACCAAGATCTTTCTCTTTGGAAGATCAAAATCCTGGGGGGGGGGTGGAGAGAAGTCTCATAAAATACCATTACCTAATTATATGACCAGGAAATAACTTTTTTTTTATTATGTTATGTTAATCACCATACATTACATCATTAGTCTTTGATGTAGTGTTCCATAATTCATTGTTTGCGTTTAACACCCAGTGCTCCATGCAGAACGTGCCCTCTTTGATGGACAAACATAGAAGGAGAAGTGAGCTGAAGTATTCAATGAGCTTGTCTTGGCAAAAGAAATTTGGGATAAAAATTATAAAACATATGTAATGAAAACAAGAAGCCATTACTTGATGTCAGGCACTGTTTCCATACCCTTTGTTGTTTCGGTTTCTCATTTATAACCTCCATATTTCCTACTATACTTTCAGCATTATCTTTTCTACCTGTTTTTTCAAATTGTGTTTTGATTACTGCAGCTATTTTATTCCTTTTTTTCCCCAATTATTTCCTATGATATAACACAGCTCATAATACATCTTCCTGCGGTCTTACTATCTCTTTCAGAACCTCTTATTTGCCTGTTTTATGTTCTTGCACACCCAAAGCCATTATTTTATTGTTAATTTTTATTAAAAACTAGTAAAAATATTTAGGCATTACATGACATTTTTCACATGAATTACCACTTGCTTGTCCTGTCTTCTCCTATTTCTTGTAATAACTTTGCATATATCTTGTGATGGCTGGGTTTTTTTTGTTTTTTTTTAAATTCCTGAGCACTGAAGGAGATGGATTTTTCCTGACCCAGCTATTTTCTGATCCAGCTTTCCCATGGGGTGAACTGAGAACTGTATTCCAAACTGGCAGGAATAAGGGCACTGCATGCTCTCCTCAATCTTTACTATTCTTCAACTGAGAGAAGTCTTTTTAGTTTTTTCAAGTATAAAGTCTTTTTCATTTTCTACTACTTCACAGATGGACTGCAGCTTTCCAACACAGCTTGTGCCTATGAGTCCTCATTCTACCCCATCCCTCTGCTTCTCAGGAAGAAACCCGGTACAGAGATCTAGCACCATCCTGAAAGTCCTTCCTGCTGTTCTACAAGATTAGGTTTGACAATTTGAGGTTCCACCTTCGAAAGGAGCAGCTCTGAAATCTTTAGCTCAGCACACACCTCCACCTGGTATTTCACAGCTATTGGCAACCCCTTCCCCTTGTTTTGCTGTTGAGAGTTAAACTTTCTGCTTGTTCTTTCAAAAGTGATGTTTGATTTGCATCTGCTAGTTCTTCTTGTATTCCTGTTCCTAAGAAGTCAAGGTTAAAATGCCAACTTTATGCTTCCATCTTCAAACCTGAGGTCCATTTACTTCTCCTGGAAATACATACTTCTCTTGGCCTCCAGAATATCATATTCTCTCAACTTTAGTCCATCCTCATAGATTCCTCCTATAGTCCCCACTGCTCAATCCTCATCTTTATCACTTCTAAACCTCTAAACCTCATGGTGCCCCAGGATTCAGCCATGAGACCACGTCTCTCCTTTATTTATACTCATGAGCAAGAAGATCTCATACAGTTCCCATGACTTTGAACATCTTCACACCGCTGATGTCCACACTTACATCTTGTTATATACAGTGTAACTCCAAAAAACTAGTAATTTTCTGAAAGAATATATAACTAAAAGCTAATAGAGACAAAAGAATATAATAATTTAAAAATCCAAGAGGAGGGACGCCTGGATGGCTCAGTCGGTTAAGCGTCTGCCTTCAGCTCAGGTCATGATCCCAGGGTTCTGGGATCGAGTCCCACATCAG